ACCCTCAGCGCTGACAAGGGGCTGGTTTTCTATACAAAGAGCTCCCATCAGCAGATTAGAGAGAGACCCACCACCCCACCGCATAAATTTTCTGATTCACAGAAAGGCAACTGTACAGGGAATACAAACGCACAAAAGGGTGTTCATTCTCGGTCGGAAAGAGAAAAAGTGCACAGTGAGAGTGCAGTGAGACCCTGTTTTCACCCGACTGACCTGATCGGCAGACGTTAGGAAGTTACAAAGTGAAAATATGCTGCTGGGGCGGGCAGGGAGAGGCAGGCCTGGGCGCACCCTGCTGGTGGGGGCACAGAGCCGCGACCTCTGAGAGGGGCGAGGCCCCTATATCCTGACAGGCACCAGCAACACTCGCTTTGCCCCCGCACCTGCACACGCACGCGGACTCCTTCCGAACACCACAGAACACGGGGTGACGTATGTGCTGCGTCCGTGCACTCCGGCGTGGGACGCCGCCCAGCCTTTCCTCGAAGCCGTGGGGAACCCGGCTGGAAGAGACGCCATGTGACAGCGCACAAACCCCAGTCACAGTAAGCAACGTCTCGTGTCTGCAGGGGAAGCCCGCGCAGCCATCCCCCCGAGCAGAGCAGCTCGTCCCCACGGCACCGGTGGGAACAGCCCACAAGGCCTCTGGGCCGCACTCGGAGCCCGACGACGGCAGGAGCCGGCGGAGCGCGTCCGCCCGCAGGAGGCGGCCAGGCCTTCGCGCTCTCCTCCGACCCCCACCCGCCGGAGGCACGGCCCCCTCACCACGAGGGAGCCCCGCCCCCACGCTCCCTGCCGGCGGCTGCTCAGACCGCCCCTCCCGGCACAGAGGGACTGCCCCACCCACGTGGCATCGAAGGCCGCCGCCCTGTTGGCACTTCTCACTGCTCCTGCCCACGTGAGCCAGACGCTGCCCGGCGCCCCCGTGAGCAGAGGCGCACGACCCACCGCGCGGAGCCTGCCGCCACTCGGAGAACAGACCCCTTACTGGGAGTGGTTACAATGACACGACTCCCAGCCCCGGCTGGCGTGGCTCCGTGGATTGAGTGCAGGCTGCGAACCAAAGCGTCGCAGGTTCAATTCCCAGTCAGGGCACATGCCTGGGTTGCAGGCCACGACCCCCAGCAACCGCACATTGATGTTTCTCTCTCTCTCTCTCTCCCACCCTCCCTTCCCTCTCTAAAAATAAATAAATAAAATCTTTTTAAAAAAAATGACACGACTCCCCAGCTCTGTCAGTTCTGGGTGAACCAATGACGTCAGTTTCTCAAACCTGCAAAGATATAAGACTCGGAACCAACAATCCTACTGAAATGCAGGCTCTCCTGGAAGTTCCGCCTGGAACAGCGTTGCTCCTGGCACCCCAACCACAAGATTCAGGGCCCCGTGTGAAACTCAGCCGGCGCTCCGGACCGGCAGGGAGCCCACCCAGCCCTGCACGACACACGGGCACCTGTGGTCGCGCAGAGACACGCGCACGCTCATTGCCATGAGATGCCGGGAATCCCCTGTGTGACGGAGGGATTCGCCAGGACAGGGAGACGCGCTCTCGGGCTGCTCAGAGATCAGCGAGCTGTGCGGCGAGGCTTCATTGCTTCGCCCGCAGGGGAAAGGCCGCAGGGAGGGGCGTCAGGAAACAGCAGGGCCGGAAGGCCTTCGGCGCTGCGCTGTATGGGGACCGAGTGCCCCAAGGACCTAAAACGGCCTTCCGTGGAAGCCCGTGGGTGGAGCTTTACTTGGAAGGTCTCTCTCCCCCGAGAAGTCATGCAACTCTCGGGCGTTATATTTAGGAACATTTCACAAAACACCTCTTGACCCACATGGCGTTAGGGAGGGTTGTCGAAAGCCGCCGTGGCCGGGAGAGCCTCCCTGCACGTCCGGAGCCCCGGCACCTCGCGTCTCGCGGGCTGTCTCTGCGCACCGCGGCGTTCAGTGGTCACAGCACAAGGGCCCGGGCACAGAGAAGGGGCGGGGTAGAGGCCGGCAGGTCTGGCACACACTCAACTCTGGGAGCGGCTGGGCCCCTCTGGGAGGGACTCGGCTTCTCGGGGAGTCGGCCCACTGACGGGTACGTCTGCGCCCACCTGAGATCCGGTGCGCCGCCTGGTGCTGTGCCCTCCAGGCGCTGCCAAAACCGGAGGGTCCTAAATATGTTCTTCTCCTTCTTCTTCTTCTTTCTTCTTTCTTCTTCTTCTTCTTTCTTCTTTCTTCTTTCTTCTTTCTTCTTCTTTCTTCTTCTTCTTCCTCTTCTTCCTCTTCCTCTTCCTCCTCTTCTTCTTCCTCCTTCTTCTTCCTCCTCTTCTTCCTTCTCCTCCTCCTTCTTCTTCTTCCTCTTCTTCTTCCTCCTCTTCTTCTTCTTCCTCTTCTTCTTCCTCCTCCACCTCCTTCTTTCTTCTCCTCCTCCTCCCCCTCCTTCTCCCCCTCCTCCCCCCCCCTCCTGCTGAAAAGCCGTAGCCGGCATTCTGGAGGCCAGGTCTGGACGTGAGAGCCGAAGGCACATGGATGGATGGTAACACGGTGCTGGTGACGGGAGCCTCGCACGCCCCCCACCCACCGCAGGTTAGGTCCCGATGGGTGCCGCTCTGTGTAAGTTTGGGGGCCGGTGTCGTTACCAGGGTGATTTTGTTTGTTCGGGAAATTATTACAATGAACTGGCATTCTTCATGTAATCATGTCCCAAGCAGGTGGGGGAGCGGGAGGTCAGAAACGAGTCCTGAGTCACGGGTAATGGCAGCATTCCACATTTCCCAGGGCGAGCCTGTGTGCGCATTCGTGCGGTCGAAGTTCAGAACCGAGTGGAGGACCCAGTCTGCAGCCCGGGGAGCCGGGAGCCTTCGCAGCCCAGGAGGTAATGCCAGACCCCTGGGACAAAGGTCACACTGCGGGGTGGGGCGGGGGGCAGACCGTCAATCCGGACCAAAGGATTCGCTCCCAACCAACGCTGTTTCCCTGACCACCAAGTCCCCTTAGTGGAGCGTGTGCTGGGGCTGCCTCCTCTCTGACGCGGGGAACAGACGCCTGCCCGCTGCAGAGCCCGTGCCGCGGGGCCCCGCCGGTCCTGCGTGCTGAGTCTGCCCTTCCGTGGAACCGCTGAGTGTGTGTTGAGCGCAGAGCTGCCGGAGACCCCAGGCTGTCCTCTGGAGGAGCGATGCCCACAGCAGGTCTGCCCCGCAGGAGCCGGTCCCCTCAGAGTCCCCTCTTCCTTAACCCAGAGCGCTTCTTGGGTCCCGCCATCGGGGCCACCACGTGGCTGACAGGCGTGATGGGTGGAGCGCAGTCTGAAACGCAGGGGCAGGAGGTGGCCGGCACAGTGCCCCCCCCCCCCGGGACACCCAAAGGGGCCGGGAAAGCGCCACCAGGAGCTGGGCTGTCCCAAGCAGCCCTCCCCGCGGGTCCTGGGCGCCGCCGGCCTCGAGGTCCCCGACTGGAGCGATATCCGACTCCGGGCACAGCAGAGAGCCAGAGCCACGTGAGGCCGCGCAATCTGTGCCCAACTTGGCGGAAACTGAAAACGGGAATGTGACTCTGAGCCCTGCTTCTCGCGATGCAATGGCACTCCCTTTGCTCCGGGCCAGCGAGGAGTTACTCAGGCGTGGAGAGCCCTCAATCCTGGCTCTGCTGCCGCAGTTCGCCGGGAGCGGCTGTTCGCCCGGGTCACAGGCGCTGGTCCCCGCCCCCTGCCCCCTGCCCCCCCCCGCGTGGACCACGGCCGTCCACCAGCTCTGTGTCCCGGGCAGGGACCAACCAAGGCAGCGAGGATGCAGGATAGTCTGTCCAAGGTCACCCTGAAGGAGCTTCCTAAGTAGTATCGTTAGCTGGGGGCAAATCTTTTACAACAGAGGGTCAGGGGAGCACACTTTAAAATATCTTTCTGGGGGGGTGGGGGGGTACAGTGAATCAAGATCTACAGACAGAAGTTACCGTATTTTTCGGACTATAAGACACACACCCCAACCCTCCCCCGCCCCAGTTAGGGAGCAATGATGGCTGTTAATGCTGCTGTTGAATTCTGTTTACATTTACATCAGTGAAATACTATTTATGTTATTAAATATTTTACCACATTTTTTGCTTCAAGTTTTCCCCCTATCTTCCTCCTCTAAAACCTAGTGTGTCTTATGGTCTGAAAAATACAGTAAGTGGATTGCAACAAACTCTCCAACAGACAGGCCTCAGTGTCCTGCTCTGTAAAATGGTAGTCCTCTTAGGGGATGTTCACAGAAATTCGGCAGGACTGTGAATATGAACTCGTAGGACGCCTGGCACCTCACTGTCATCAGCCTGGGGAGAAGACACCCCAAGTGGACACACCTGTCCCCGAAAAGCACCGCCCTAACCCGTCCCTGCTGCAGCAAACAGCGGTCTTCTCTTTGCTTGTGTGTTTTTCATTTTCAGTCCCTGAATTTTTTGTAAAGTTCGATATAGAAGGGAGAACTCAAGCAATAAGGTTAACAAATATGTGCCAAATGCAACCAGGACAGAACACACACCCCGTGTTTTTAAACGGACCGTGGAGATCTCCTGCAGGCCCCTACATCCCCCCTACGGACCGGGAGGAGACGAAGTGGCGGGCTCCCGGTCCCCCAGCAGGCTGGCGGCCCACCGTCCCGGTCAACCTCTCTTCGTCACCTTCCGTCACACGGGGCAGAGCCGCCGCGGGAGTGGCCAGGGAGGGGTTCGCCCCGGGTGCCCAGTCACAGGAGTGCTCGAAGACTCAGTCAGCGAGACAAACCCACTTTCAGGGCAATGAGTCTTCTAGGCAAGGTCATGCTGTAACACATAATTATCAAAACCTTAGTGGCTTAACCTGCAGGTGGCAGACACAAGGCCCGTGGGCCGAACCCGGCCCTCCACCTTGTTTTACCCGGCCCGGCACCTTGTTTCTACCCGGTGGCAGCGCCGAGCTGTTGCTTAACTGTTGAGGAGTAGTTCCATTTACACAGTCCTGAAGTTACATTCGGCCCTTGGAAGGCAACCTCGAGGCTGATGGGGCCCCTGGTGAAATGAGTTTGACACCCCTGGGCCCAACACACGTCCTATGCCACTGGGCACACGTGACCTCCAAGTTCATGGCAAAGGAAAATAGAGGAGACGGACCGAGTCTTTCCTGCGCGGCCCAGAAGTAGTGACACAGGCCACTCCCGTCTCCTCGGCCGGGATGAACTGTCTACCCCTGTCCTAACTGCCAGGGCCCTGGGAAGAGGAGGGGGTCACTTTGCTACTTAGTGACCACGAACAGCCTCTGCTTCATTCTTGGCAAAAAAATTTACATATAAACTCTATAACCCCCCAAATGAGATTTTTTTTTCCATAAAAACAGGATCGGCAACCACGGAGAGACGAGAAACAGTGTGGACCCTGGGCAGAAGGCAAACCCAGTGATGCTGTCTCCAAGGAAAAGGTGGCTGTCCCGTTCAGGGTCGGTGTCCTGGCGTTGTTCTTGAGAAGTTGCAGGCCGGGGCATTCTATATGCAGCTACTGGCTGAGAAGACTGGGTAGGCCGCAAGGTGGAGGCCAAGCTGGGGTTCCGAGGGAACCCCAAAGCCAGACCACCACTGCATCCCTCCCTGGCAAGACCCCGCTGGTCGGCAGATATACGACGAATGTGTTCATCTCTTTCAGAAAGAAAAAATTGCCTGGTCAGCTTCTCCTGGCGCTATCTGTAAGAAACACCCGCATTTCAGAAATATTAACATGTGGAACACCTCCATTGCCCCCCCAAAACAAACACACAAACACACAAACAAACAACGCTCTTCAAATGCAGGCAATTAGGTAAAATGTTTTGATTTAGGATTCCCAGGCCCTAAATAAAATCTGTGCCCTGACAAACTCAGAGAACAAATTAATTTTATTAATGAATGATTGGGCATATTTGCACAAGTCAGCTGACAAAAGTACATACTGTAACAATCACCAGGCGTGGGCCGGTGACAGGGACCCACAGGCCCCAGGCAAAGCCTTGAGTGGGGGAAATCACTCCGTGGCTCCCTCTCCATCCACCCCCCACCCTCGCCCCCCCAGGGACCCTCGCTAGTGATAGCGGCTCTTCCTGAATCCCCACCCCCCAGCCTGCACCGTCGCGCTCTCTCCCTCTTTCCTTCCAAACCCAGTTCTCATCGAGTGGAGTGATTTGCACATGCTGGTGAATGAAACTCGTGAGCTGCAGAGACGGAACCTGGGTGGCAGCTGGGGGGCAACCTGGAGAGAGGAAGGGTGGGCCCCTGTCACGGGCCAGCGGCCAGCCCCTTCCCACTGCTAACCAGGGGTTCCGGCATCTGTGGAATCATGCGGTCTCTGTCTCCCTCACGCAGCCACTCACGCAAAGGTCAAAGCAAGAAATTCCACAGCTCTGGGGCCAGGCTCGCCACCTGGTTTTTGAACCCAGATGCGCCCCCCTGAAGAGCAGGCAGCAGGCGACCTGCCAACGGGCACTGCTCCAGCACCGGGCGGCGGCGGTTGCCCCGTCTGGCCGCGTTCTGGTCCCGGGAGCAGGCGCCGAGGAGAAGTCGGACAACCCGCCCGAACCCCGCTCCCGCGGACCGAGGACGCACCCACACCAGACGCGCCGGGGACCTGGGCTGGAAAGGGAAAGGGGATAGATGACCGAAATGGGGGCGCTTCTGGCTGGGTGGGAGGCGCCACCGAAGGGGTGTCCCTGAGGCAGGCGAACCCTCCCCCTCTGAGAACACTCTTCGAACCGTCTTCTCGCCGGTCCCCCCGGTCTTCCTAAAGCGACCTGTGTCGCGTTTTCGCTGGGCGGCCTCTCCGCATTACTGATTACGGGGTGCAGCAGGGCTGACGTCAGCATTCAGGGCGCTCCAGTGACTTCGCGGGGGCCACGGGCCTCAGCACCTGATCCAGCGCTCACCCGGCCTCCAGCCAGGGCCAAGGTCGCGCCCTCCTGGGGCGGGGGGGGGGCACCCCGCCACCCAGAACCCCCAGGGGCCCTCGGCAAGGTTGGCAGAATGGCGAGGCGGCGGCGCTCTAAGATCGCGGCGGCACGTGGAGGCCTCTCCTCGCCCATCTCCTGCCGCAGTCTGAGACAACTCCGCGTTTCTCGGGGCGCCGTGCTGCGGGAGGGCACTCGGACACTCACCGCGGGTCCACTGCGCAACTCCGGGCGAACCGGACCGCGAGGGCGGGGCGGGGCGGGGTGGATCCAGGCGTGCCAAGCCGCAGTCCCGGCGACCCCCGCCGCACCCCGCGCGCGTTCCGCCCGCCGGCCGCGGTGCCCCGCGCAGCACGTGCGGATCCACGCGCATCCCACCGCACGCCTGCGCTCCCGCCGCGGCCGGGTCGGCGGAGGACGGCCGCATGGGCGTGTTTCAGGGGCTCGGGCCCGAACAGAGAGGCCGGGGACCGCGCGACGCGGGTCAGAAAGCAGCCGCGAGCCAGTCCCGCGTCACCGTGGCCGCAGGGGAGGGAGCCCCCGCCCGCCGGGCACGCCACGGGGCGCGGGGACCACGCAGAGCCGTGCGGCGCCCACTTCCTGTTGGGTGCACGCCGCCTCCCGCCGTCCCGCGCTCCCCGCGGCGTCCGCGCGGGCCCCCTGCCGACCCCGGGACCGCGGCGCCGGTGTGGGGCACACGGCGCCCGGCCCCCTCTGCCCGCGGGGTCGCGCGAGCCGCGCCGCAACTTGTGCTCGCAGCCGAGCCCGAGCCCCACGCGCCGAGCCCGCGTTTGCGCCTCCTCCTTCCCCTCCTCCCTCCCTCCCTCGCGCCCGGAGGACGGCCCCGGTTCCAGGCTCCGGGCGGCTTTATTCTGCGGCCGAGGGTCACATCCGCACGCCAACTGTCCCACTCTCGCCGGAGTCTCCACCTGGGCACGAGCCGAGGGGGCTCGTTTCCCAGATCCCCGCGTTCCACTGCACCTGCCTTGCACGTTACCTCTGGGGATCTGTGGGAGGAGCCGAGTGGGAGGAAAATGTTGCTGCGCTTTGCAAAAGGAAGAAAACTTTGCCACCCAGCCGGAGACCTCTGCCACGCGTAACCAGGAGAGAGACCAGCACCGGGACAGCCTGTGGCTTTGATTTGGCATCTGATGAGCCCGTAGGAGGAAGAGGAAACGAGCTCGGCTCACGCCGACCGCCATCCCTCCCGTGCGGCGGGCGGCGGCCCGAGGTACCTGCTCCACCCTCCCTCCCCGCTCAGGTCCCCACGCGGTGTCTCCGGGGGAAGGACAGCGGTGACGAGCTCGCCGCCCCGGGCGGAGGGCAGGGGCCGGGCTAGGAAGCAGGACCATATTCCAGGACCGAGCCACTCGGAATCAACTTCTGGTTCAAGTTATGGGAAGCGCGGCCATGGACACCAAGAAGAAGAAGGACGTTTCCAGCCCGGGCAAGAAAAACCCCAGCCAGAAGAGGCGGTCGCTGCGAGTGCACATTCCGGTGAGTCCCCGAGCCGCGGTCCGCGGGTCCCCGCCCTCCGGCGGCAGCCGCCCCGGCGCCGAAGCGGTTAACGCGGGCTGCCCCGCGCGCGCCGTGCGCGCCCCTCCTGTCACTTGGGGCCGCTCGCGGGAAGGGTGGGGACGCGGGGCCGAGCTGGGCCGCCGAGCCCCGGCTCCGTCTCTCTCCCCACCCGCGTGCAGCCGGGGCTCGGCGGCCGTCTGCGGCGAGAGCGGGGGGGGGGGGGGTGGAAGTGAGGGGAAGGGGGGAAGGGCACGCGGCGCGCTCCCGGACCGGGCCCGCTGGTGGCGGGCTGGGCGTAGTCCCGCCCGGTGCGGGTGCGGGGGGCGGTGCGTAGTGTTGTTTTGTTGGAAAAGGACGGTGTGGACCGCGCTCCGGGGAGGTGGAGCTGCGCGCGGCCGCGGGGGACGCAGGGGAGGGGTGGTGGGTGGGGACAGCGGGGGCGGGGCGGCTGGGTGGCTGCTCGCCCAAATGGACCTCGTTGCTCCCCAGCCTCCCTCAGGCCGTCTCTGGACCTGGGGCGGGGGCTCCTCTGCCGCCGGTCCCTTTGCCAGCCCTCCCCCCGCCCCCGCAGCGCCATTTCGAGCACGTGGGGCCTCGGGGATCCCTATCGCGGCCGGGCTTGTGGGGAACTTCAGCCCCGGCCACGCGGGCAGCGCAGCGCGGACTTTGGGTGCATCGACCGGTCTGCGGCGTCACTTTGTCAAGGTGGAGGGAAGGCGGGTGGGGTGGACGCCCCGCCGCCCGCCCGCCCCCCGCCCCGGGGGCTGGCCTGCCCAGGTAGCCCGCCCGCCGCCACTTGTCGCAGCCTCCCTGCCGGGGATCCGGCGACGGTGACGGGACGGGGCTCAGCTCTCAAGTTCACCCCGAGGAAAACCCCAACCGGGTCACACCCCTGCCCTCCACCAACCAAGTAAAATGCTTGCACACGCGCGCGCACACTCACACACACACAGAGCAGAGGGCTCCACGGAGAAGGTGACTTTGTTCTCTGGCCGGTCTTGGGCGCGGGGGTGCGGGGAATGCGCAGTGAGCTGCTTCCACACCCCATTACCGACAGTCTGATCACCATCGCCTTCCTGACAGCGCCAGGGCGGGGCTGGGGCGGGCGGCTGGCCACCCCCTGGCCCCTGCCACCCGGTGGGCACTCTTCTCTGGGGTCTGTGGAACACAGCTCCCCCTCTCCTGTCTGTGGGTGAGGAAGGGTAAGGTCCATGGTGCAGACCCCAGACATCTGATGGGGACTTGGGGAGCAGCTTAAAGTTGGGGTGCAGTGACCAGTCCTCCTTGGTCAGGGGGAAACTCGGGGAGCAGGTGACTGGACCCCTGGCTGTTGTGTGGCCACTAGTGTGGTGACCCCAAAAATATGCATAAAGAAGTAGTCTTCTGAATCAGCGTTCTACCTGAAACTGAAATATTCCCGTTGACATGGCTGATGTGAAACGCTTGTCAGTGTCCCCCCAAAAGCTCCCCGAAGCAGTGGTCACTGCAGTTAGCCATCTCACCCCCCCGTGTGTCCCATGTGTCCGCCGAGGTGATCATTCTTCACCCACTACTTCCCGGGATGTTTCAGAAACATAATTCCCGGGGAAGCTCTTACGCCTTTCAAGTGTTACGTGAGTGTGTGGCTAGTACGTCCACCTCAGAGCGCCTGATGCGAGAGAGAGAGACAGGGCGGAAGCCGGCACTGTCCAGGGCACAGACCATGTTGCCGAGAGGCTGCGTGTGGGGTGCTGGGGGGGCGGGGCTGCTGGTGATCGGGGGAGGGAAATCGGGACCTGGGGAAGGGCTGAGAGGCCCGGCCGAGAACCTGGAAAAGCCAGCAGGTAGTTCGGGTCCTCTGACCACCTGCTGCTGCTGGCGGTGACCTTGGCTGCCTGACCCACCCGGCCCGGCCTGCAGGGCTGCTTCCTCGGCCATCTCCCTGCATGTGCCCAGGGCTCTGGGGGTGGGGAGGGGGTGAGCTCTGGGGGCGAACGGGGCTGCTGTCTCCACCCTCACAGGGCCCTGGGGGTCTCCATCAGTAAGCTGGGCCAGGTGAGAGTCCCGATCGCACTGGGGAAATAAGACAGACGCCGGCAGGCGACCCAAGGGCGTGCGATGACAGGTGCAGGCAGTACCTGCGTTCAGAGGGGAGGGAAGGACGAGGCGGCAGAGAGACACTAGACCCGGAGATGGTGGGCAGGACAGAGACCGGGTGAGAAGCCCGGGGGGGCTGCTCCTGGCAGGGAACCAGCCCCAGCACCCCCGCGGCCTCCGGGGCTTGGCCGGGTGCTCCCGGGGCCAGGGGCATCCCCTGCTTGGGGAGGGAAGGGTTTCGGAACCGGAGTAACCAGAAAGGGTTGAGGCCAGCCAAGGAGGGCCTTGCAGTGGGGTTGCCAGACTCAGCAAAGAAAGGTGCTAAATGTGCTCAGGTTAAAGTAGACTTTCAGAGACACAACAAATAACTATTTTTAGCAATTTTAAATAACTTTTTAAAAGATTGTATTTATTTATTTATTTATTTATTTATTTATGTAAGAGCGGGGGGGAGGGAGGGAGAAAGAAAGGGAGAGAAACAACAATGTGTGGTTGCCTCTCGTGTGTACCCAACTGGGGATCTGGCCCACAACCCAGGCATGTGCCCTGACTGGGAATCGAACCAGCGACCCTTTGGTTCACAGTCTGTGCTCAATCCACTGAGCCACACCAGCAAGGGCAAACAAACGACTTTTTAGTATAAGAATGCCCCGCGCACCACTTGGGATAAACTTAGCTCTGAAAAGCGACCTATCGTCCGCTGACCTCCCAGCTGACCTGGGTGCCCTGCGGCCCGGCCAGGAAGGCAGGCCCAGGGAGCGAGGACCTCCTCCCTCAGGTGCTGAGAAGGGGGGGTGGCGGCGGCCCACCAGGACAAAGCGCACTGCAGCCTTGCCCAGCGGCCCCACGCCACGCCGCAGCCCCTGTCCGAGTCTGCCTCCGTCTCGGCGGGGTCCTCCTGAGTGCCGCAGGCCGGTCTGCGCTGAGTGCTGGGGTCAGGAGTGTGCCCCCATCAGGGGCAGCCCTCAGCCGAGGAGGGGTGCAGCTGGACCATCGTGACGTGCATTCTGCCTGAGAGGGTCCCCTCGGGGGCCAGCCCGGTAGCCCCCCACGGTCGTCCATCCGTCAGGGTGCTGGCGCGTCCGGCTTCCCCGCTCATTCTCCCCCCACCCCCACCCCCACCCCCGGGGATGAATGAACGAACCTGAGTCCCCTTGCTGTCCGCTTTGGCGGGGAATCTAAACTAAGAAGCAATGAAAGGGGATGAAAACTACCCTTTCTGAGACTTAGCCTGGTAGCAGTGGGCCAAGGGGGGTCACAGGAAGAGGGGTGGTCGGTGTCGGGGAAACCGAGGCAGCCGCCCTGGTAAAAACCAGAGGTCAGGCTCCGAGGGCTGGCCTGCGGCAGTGGCAAGAGGGGACAGACAGGGGGGAGGTGTGCTGTGTCAGAGGGAGACTGGGGGAGCCCAGGGGTCAGGTGAGTGGCGGGGCAGACGGGAACGGCATCCAGGTGTCCGGTGTGAGGGCACGTCGTTCTTGGGGACAGTGATGCGCCGGATCACCGCCACGGTGGACGCGCGCTGACGGGGGCGCATCGGAGGGGAGTTACTTCCGCTTCCCCGTCCCCCAGCTCCAGGCGGTCCCCGGGGCCCAGAGGATGCCGTTTCCAGGGACCTTTGGGATGCTGAGGACAGTGCGACTGTGCCAGCCCCGTGGGTGGGGCCGCTCGGTCACACCCATCGGCACCCTCGGTGACAGGGCCTCAGGGGGGGGGGGGCTCTGGTGTCCACGCAGCTCGTCTCTTCTTCTCCAAATCCGGTCGAATCCCTTCTGGACATGACCGGCTTCGGTCTGCACCCCCGAGCCCCACGCGTCGTCAGAGCTGTGACCCAAGGGGCCGGCAGGCGCCGTCTGCAAACCTCCAACCCCGGGCCCGGCTCTCCTTAACCGTCTCACCGGCCTCCTCCCGGTGGCTCCTGCCGGCCTGACGCGCCAACACGGGGGAATTCATTTCAGGGGGCGCCCTGGGGCCTGCCGGCTGCAACGGGTGATGGAGAGCTGGAACGGCAAACTAACGCGACGCAAACATTGAACTCGACTGGCGGGAGAAGGGCCCTTGGCCCAACAGGGGATGCGGCCTTTGCTCGCTTCCAGTCTGTCTGTCAGGCGGTTTGGGTCAGCTTTCTGGGAGAGCGTCCCCACACCCCTGCCCCCCGGGGGTGGTGTCAGGGGTCCGAGAAGGTGGAGGAAAGACCACATGCAGATCCCCCGGGGGCGCACGGGGCCCACGGGGCAGCAAGGTGGGCGCAGTGTCTGGAGCGTCCCGGCGCGCCCAGCGGGCACCGCGCCTGGGCTCTCCGTGCTCTTAGCCGCCCGAGCTGACGTGCGGCAGGGGATAGTCGTGAGAGGGAGGGACCGGCTTTAGCAAGTGACTCGGTCGAGGCGGGTGGCGTTCTGCCAGGACCCGGCCAGAGAAGCTACTGCTGGGGACCAACCTGCTGTCTTCTCCTTCTTCGCCCGAGAGAGAGAGAGCGGCTTCCCGGGTTGCACTGAAATCCGTGCATCTCAGACTCGTGCTCACCGGGGGCCGTCGGCCGGTGACTGGTGGGTCACTGGAACTGTTTGTGAGCCAGGGACAAAGCAGGCGACCAGTGGGGCGGCTGGGGGGGTGGGGGCAGCTCTGTAGAGAGAAGGACCCACACCGGGGCCCCGGGGCCCACGGAGCCAGGGGCCAGTGTTGTTCGGCTGACCGTTAAGTATTCACGAGCACGCGCCCGGGCCTCTCGGGACAGGAGCCCCGGAGCTTCCTCACAGTCACTGGAGACAACTGGAAATAGAGCCAGGAGCGGCGGGCCAGTCACGGAAGGTCGTGGAGCCTCGGCTGGGCGTGGGCGGGCCGTCCCAAGTGATGCCGCTGTCTGCGGCGTGTCCCTCCCGAGGGGATCCTCGCGCCCTCCGGGCTGG